ATCAGCCGCGTAGATGGATTTGGTTTGCTAAGACGATAAATGAGGAGAAGAGGCTGCTGAGGGAAGAGGGACAGGCAGCCGGCATGAGTGTGCGCGACGAAGCAGACCAGGCTAGCAGCGCTCATTTGATAGAAAAGATGCAGCACATTCAAGCTGCCTGCCTCTTGATTTTCAAAAATAACCTGTGTTTATCATCCTGGCTACAATATCCCTTCACGCCAGTAAGCTTATGAACCTCTTGCAAAAGCTGGCTCTGCCTGGAAATACCTCTTCACTGAAAGCCAAGATAATAATTTGTTTTAGGGAGAGAAGACCCAGAATCGGAACCGTGTGCAGTGATTCACGAGGGTTGGCTGTCATTCCCCGTATGTGAAGTCCCACACCAGCTCCCTCAGCCAGCCTAAAGCCTAGAAAGCACATGGTGTTTTTTTCCAGATTCAAAGTGGCTAGAAATAAAGCAGAAGAAAAAGAAGTTGCTTTGTACTTTGTGCGCTGCCTCCCACTGAAGTCTCTGTAGAATGTGGAATTAATCATTAAGCTGCAGTTTCTGTCCCCGTGGAAGGGATTACATCCTTCTTTAACTCTGCTTTTCTAATTTTTTATATATATATACACACATATATATGTATTTTTTTTTTATGTAGAAAATAGGATGCAAATTTGGAGGAGAGATACACACTATCTACAAGAAGGTACCCCCTTTATTAGATTCTTTAGGATGTGGATCTATGTGAGCAGCAGTTTTGCAGTTAAGCCCAGCCAGAAGGAAGATCTTGAACAAATTTCAGATAATTTAGCATGACCATAGACTAAAAGAGGTGCTTAAAAATCCTGCAAGTTCTCTTAAATTGAGGCCTTGCAAACAGATGCTAACACCTGTGGGCACATACTGTGTTAATTTGTAAGCAACTGCAGAGACACTTTTGCCAGTGGCTTGTGTAACATTAGCTTAATAAATAAGAATATATAACCAGAGTTCTGTTTGGACAGGAAATTGCAGAAATACATTGAAAGCATGAAAGCCTGTGATGCATGACTGAAAACTCTGCAGCTTCCTCTCCGCTCAGCTAGAACTGACACCTCTGAAAAAAATCAAGACATCCAATAGGTTCATTAAACAGCATTAAGACATCTCTGAACCACTGCCCTTTGAAAAACCTTGCAGATGATCATGTTTAGTATTTTTGAAGTTCCTTTGTACTAAGGAAGGAGGAGGCTGTGATGCGCCACACGCTGTATATCCATTTTAGATCAGTTCCCTATCCCAAAATGGTGGTAACTTGAGAATTGGCTCTCATGATGAGGACACGAGAGAAGCCGTGTGACTGCACGGTGCCTCCTGCCTTTACTGGGCTTTACAAAGGAAAGGGTCCCCCTTGGATAAGCTCATTGCTGGGACCGGCACAGGTCAGAGCCAGGCTGGGGAAAAGAAAGCATCTTTCTGCCTGTTCTGCATAGACGCAGATGTTAGGAAAAACTTCTTTACTGAAAGAGTGGTCAGGCCTTGGAACAGGCTGCCGAGGGAAGTGGTTGAGTCACCATCCCTGGAAGTATTTAAAAGACGTGTAGATGAGGCACTTAGGGACGTGGTTTAGTGGGCATGGTGGTGTTGAGCTGATGGTTGGAGTCGATGATCTTAGAGGTCTTTTCCAACTTAATGATTCTATGATTCTGCTGCCGATTTTAATGTCCTAAGAAGAAAGTTATGGGTTAAGTGACTACCTACTGTGGCCCAGGAAACTCTGTGGCAGAGGCTCAATTCAGTGCATTAATTTAATTCTGTCCTTCCTCCCTCCGCTGATTTAACCACAAACTGTCCCTTTTGTTTCCAGATAACCGACCTTTAATCCTGAATTTTGGAAGTTGCACCTGACCTTCGTTTATACTAAAATTTGATGAGTTCAACAAGCTCATCAAAGATTTCAGCTCAATAGCAGATTTCCTTATCATCTACATCGAAGAAGCTCATGCCGTAGGTACAGTACACACATCACAGAAATGCCTACCGAAACTTCAGACACGTTATCATTCCCTTTAGGAAGAAAAGTACGTTAGCAAAGGAGGGAATTGCAAAGGGGAAAGAAATCTTCCTCAAATCAAAAGTTGCAACACCAAATCTAGGCACCAGTTTGCGTCCCTCATTCTCCAAAGATTTTACTCACACATCTGACTTTACACCGAGGTACTCCATGTGAGGGTGAAGTACATAGTTATATCTTTACAAAACTTCCTCTCAGTGTTAGTATAGATCCTTTTGGAAAGAAAAAAAAAAAAGGCATTTCACAGAACAAAGGTTAAGTGTACAATACCAGCATGTTACGTGTTTAAAAAAAAAAAATTCATTTTTAAAGTCTCGAGAACAGGATGCAGACTCTCATTTCAAAAATTTAGCAAACAAACTATACACACTCTTTTACCTACACTGGACTTTAAGTAACACATTGGCACTCATTTTATACCAGGGTTAAGGTGGTTTTCTAAAATGTAACATTTACAAGTTTTCTAACTATACATCACTTTCAGTAGTCAGTCATCAAAACCTTTCGCTAGGAAGACTTGTGTGCAAATGTGTGTTTGCATATTTCTGAAAAAGGAAGGTGTGACCTGGCTCAAATGTTTCACTTCTCACAGATCTGAAATTTTGTTTTATAGGCTTAATGAGTGGAATCAGGCAGAATGAATAGTACTATTGTTGCGACTGTGCTAAATGAACGAGTATCAACTGATAGCACTACTTATCAGTTTAAAATCCCCTCTGTGCCAATAATTTTGACAAACTTTACCCAATTAGGATATATGTCCCCCATCTGGTATCTTTCTAGGCTTGATTTATGTGGGAAAATTTCAGCTAAAATACATCAAATATTTCTGAATCCAGGGCAAGGGGAAAATACAGTTTGCTGAAATTAAAGAAAAATGTATTTGAATTCTTTTGAAAATTCATTTATTTGAAAAGCTCTAGTGCTCTCATACTCTGAGGGGGGCTTTCATTTCATGGCAAGTTTTGGTGTTAGGAGTAAATTGCAGTATTCTTTTAATGCAGTTTTGGGATATGACACACAGTACATCTCCACCCTTAACATCTATTCAAAATGTTCCTTGCTAAATCCCTTTTTCATTTGTTTTAGATGGATGGGCTTTTAAAAACAATATTGTTATTAAAAATCACAGAAGCCTTGAAGATCGAAAAATTGCAGCACAATTTCTTCAGAAAAATAATCCTCTATGTCCAGTGGTTTTAGACACTATGGAAAACCTGAGCAGTTCAAAATACGCTGCATTGCCAGAACGACTGTATCTGCTTCAAGGAGGGAAGGTCATCTACAAGGTAAAAAATATCAGCAATAATAATGAGCACAATAGATTGAGTTTTTTAAATTTCAGAATAATTTGAGAATGTTTTAACAGTCAGTATTTCATTCTGTTTGAGAGCTAAAAATTTCACAATTCACTGTAACTGTGAAGAGAAAAGGACTTGCAGCAAAACCAGTCTGGGCCTTTATAATGTACATATTTGATGTACACCTCAGTCTTGCTCAAATATTTATCTTTTGGCTCATTGGGAAACCTGTGAGATCCAGGAACGCTTTCCAGCTCCAGGATTCAGTCGTTGGCCCTGTCCCAGTTACACAGCAGGGTGTAACCTATGCATACACCACCTCCCATGCGACGGCTGTCATGCAAAGGAAGCCCAAGCACACCTGCCCACAGTTCTGGTGCAGCTGCTGTGCTCTAAAGCACTTCTGCTTTGTCTACTTGAGCCTCACTGTATAATTTTGTTGCCTTTGCAGGGAGGAGTGGGGCCTTGGAATTATCACCCCCAGGAAATACGCACCATCCTGGAAAAACTGAAATAGAAAAAGAAGAGAAGAGGACTTCAGAGTAAAGACTATCTGGATAAAAAAGCTCAATGAATAAGTTTTCATAGACATAATTATAAGAAGAAAAAAAAAGAATTTAAAAATAACAATAGAGACAAGAAAAAGAATAACATGTGTATCTAAAGAGCATCTGTAATGTGGTTCATTATGTGTTTGTACAGAGGTTTTCAAGTCTCATCACTACAACCCCAACTACTGCACTGTAGTATCTCACTACCTTATACCACATGCAGTAACGAATAGTAGTTGGGTCCATTGAGCTGTCAGGACTGAACCAATGTTTACATTTGTAAGAAATACCATGCAGGATAAACTTCAGGAATAGTGACATTTGCAAAAGTCGACTGGCATGCAAAACAACTGATTTCACATTATTAAGATTCTCTTTCTCTTCTATACATACCTACTTCCTAAATGTTCACTTTCACTGACTTCAGAAGGCTTCTGAATAAGAAAATCTCTATCAGCATTTGTTTCTATTAATATTTGTTATGACAGTCATAGCATAAAGCACAGACGGCTGTGACCTGATTGTAGAAAGTATTTATAGAAACAAGGGATTGATCTGCAATTAAAAATCTATCACAGCACCTCATATGGCTTCAGCTTATTTCCCTCCCTGACCCCCACAGTTATTTCTAAGCATTAGTAGACTTTTATATTCATCCTATTAGTCTTGAAAGTTTGAGTTGATGAGAAAGTTACCAATTTAAGAACTTTTGAAGGACTTGTTTGACAGTAGCAAGTAATACCTCCCATTTAGGTATTTCACACTTCTTTTTTTTTCTATTTAACTCAGAGTGCAAGGGAAACATTTTACAGGAAATAGAGTTTTAATTCATATATTAAGAAAGCCTTATATAAACATACTAACTTAAATGGATTCAGTTATGTTCAAGTGTTCTAGGGTAACAGCCTAGGTTATAAAACTAGGAAGCTGTTACTACAATTAACAGGAGTACTGCATTACATACATTAAACCGGTGGGGAATACATACTACATCCATATCTTCAAAAAATACTTTAATACAGGGTTTTAATAATAAATATTCTCTATGCTACAGATATCAAAATATAACTTCTTCATAAAAAAAATTGAGATACAAATTTAAGCTGTACTTAAGTGTTTTCTACTATGCCCTCTGCCATCACCCGGTGCACTGATACAAAATGATCAAAGGCAGATTTGATGATAAAACGCAAGTAAGTGGCTTGGCAATCAGGAAGCTGTAGAAGGAAAAAAGAAGTTACTGCATTCTCTGTAGTAACATAACTGTCAAACAACGTTTGCAGAAGTTTGTTAGAAGGATCTAGATATTTCTGTGTCTGTTTTTGAATTATACATAAATTAAGCTCTTTGAATACATCTACCCAGCCTCAGAGCTTCTTTAGATGACAGCAATTCAGAAAAGTCCCATCCCTCCCGAATACCGCAGCCTTAAAGGCAACAATGGAACGACGAAAGATTGCCGCATGTCTGAAAGAGCTCTTTCACATAGTTAGGAGCAGTAGGCAGGTGCAATTTCATACCATAGTCTACAAAGGAGCAGTTGGGAAGTACAATTTTATACCATGATCTACGAATTCCTGTATCTATCATCAATTTAACAATAATTGTAAATAAAGACATGTTTTGGTTTTTCATGGTTTCCCCCCAGTTAGTCTAGAGATCCCATGTCATGAACCACTACTGACGTACGCTGTAAATACTCACTGGAAATTCTTCCATTTGAAGCTGTCCTTCTGTGTGTTGCAAATCTAGAAAATACATTTTAAAGCAAATAGTGAATAATAATATGCAATGCTGTGAAAAGTTTTCACTGGACTTCAGAGTTCAAGAGAGTTTAAGGACCATGAACTTACACTGCATATAGAAATTGTTCTTTTTTTACAAGGTGATTCAAGAGAACAAATACTTTTTGCAATATCCCAGTGTGTATATATCCCAGTCATTACACTGTTTTATAAAATGTCACCCAAGAGGCATTAAAAAAAAAACAAAACCAAAAATAAACCAACCAAACAATGCAGGAAATGGCACTCTATTATACTATGTAAGTCTGGTTTTAATTTTTGGAACATAAAAGCGAGTGCACAAGTAGTGCTTTTAGCCCTTATACAGCATTTTACATCTCCAAACTGCTACACAGACTATCAGTGTTCATAAACTTCGTTTAAATGCATCTATTACGTCTAACAAAATAATCATCAAGCCACACTTGACTACTCAACAAATAGACATGGGGTTAAAGAGACTCACTGAAAAAATTAGAGTGTATCAATAATGATAAAAAGGATGGTTTTATCTGTATGGCTAAACAGAACCTAACTAAAATATAAATTCAATTTTATAAGCATAATTTTACAGACCATGTATACTTAGTCAAGGGCATAAAATTGAGATTTAACTTTAGAATAAAGAATATTGCTTCCCAGTGTATTTGTTTATCATTATCCATCTAAAAATGCCTTTTTCAAGTGGGGAAAATGGTGCTATACAGCATCAGGCTACGTGACCGGAAACCTGGCTATTTTTCCAAAATGTCCATGTTTTCACTCAATGTTCAAAGAAACCAACAGGGAACCCAAAGAATTCGATATTATGTATGCAAAAAGTGATAGTTCCCTCCAGAAGAGCATCACTGAAATTATTCAGGCAGCTAAGGTGAAAATGTAATTAAGTTACTGTGAGAACTACTCCGTGGTATAACACCATAAGCAACTTTTGCAGGAAAACAGGGATCCCTGTGAACACGCAATTAAAACACTAACCAAGACTAACTAAAATTAACAAAAGCAGCCTAGGTCACGAGGCTTTACCGAAGGCTGACAATGTGACTGATCTTGTTTTCAGGCACCTGCCAGGGCACACATCTTAGTGTTATCCTCCCTTGTTTTGCCAGAAAAAGAACATTTTCAAGCTTCATTAGCAAGTTTTATTTCTGATGAATTACCTCAGTAGTAACAATAAAAGTCAATCAGAATCCTTCCTAGTTTGCCTAACACAAGCTTTCTAAACCTAGAAATGGTAAATGAATCAGCAAATACAAAGATCAACATCATTCCCACAAAATGCCTGCTGCTTCAGATTCAGAATCTTACCTTTCTCAATGCACTGTTCAAAACCTACTGGGTCTTTAGATACGCTTCTTTCAATCCTTAAGGTCCGCACTAAAATATATATACATGTAAAATATCAATACAAATTCTGACTCTTTATTGATAATTATATTTATTGCATCACTTTTAATCTACAAAACATTTTAAAAGCATTAACTAATCCATTCTTCCTCTAACTTATGAGGTAGGACTATAATACAACGACCACCCTCATGTTCCAGGTTGGACAAACAGTGACAAGTTTTTGTCTTTCGCGTAGCCTCTGATAATGGTCAAGCTCCTGTCTCCATGCTCTGACTTTGTAACAGTCTTTTCTGTTTTAGAACTCACATTTTCCTTCACATTATTTAAAAAAGACTAAGAGAGTTCTGTCCTACGAAATTATAAAAATCAATATTCAAAATAAATCATTAAAAGAGTAAGTCTTATAGTCCTGTCCATTAAATTAGAACAGCCATCACTGTGCAACAGAACAGTTAATTACAAGCTCAACACAAGGTGTTATATTAACACAACAAATGCAGGTGGGGTAGATTTTCCACCTTTTTCTGATTTATTTATGAAAAACTTTGGATGTGGAGGACAATTGCTTTGTTAAGCTAAATGAAGCTTTATGAATTAAACTAAACTTTACGAAATCTGTTAGAAGTGACTACTTACAGAATGTGACACAACTGTGAGAATTTACACATAGGCGCACACACACATTTTAACATAGTATGTATTACATACTGCAATAAATGAAGTCTTACCCAAATAACACTGGATTGCGACTTTGCTGATTTTCACACACTTAGGAAAACCAACAATGAATTCCTGTGGGAACATGCCTGTCGTCGTCCAAAACGTTTCTGAACTTCTGTGGAGAAAAAAGGTCAAAACCCCCACCTGCAGCTTTCCATCTACAACCGTCTTGAAATGTATCACACACACGCACACACACAAAAAGCTGCAAAGCCATTTTTATTTGAGGTATTTTAAGCAAACCCCTGTATGACAATGGGGAAGCTCTCTGGAAGTATTAATACTTTAACGTTCAGGCTCTGAACCCGAGCAATACCACAGAAGGACTCACGAATGGCGGGGGGTCCCAGAAAAGAGTTAAATTATGTGCCAACATGAGCGGGTAAGCAAAACAGAGCCTGGCGTCGACGGGCTGCGATAACGGCAGCACCGGGAGGGATCTCTGGGGAGAGCGGCCGCCCCGGAGGAGCCGCTTCCCGCCGG